TGCCGTTCTTCTGCGGAAAATTGTTCCACGAAGCCTGGAAGACCAGTGAACATTCTTCCAAACCTTCCTGGCAGATTGTTTCCTGAATCTGAAAGAGGGTGTGTCTTCAGAATTCTGGAACGCCATTTTGTGAGTTGGAAATGGGGGTTCCCTCCCAATAATCCACCGGATGTTTTCTATGTCACTTTTGGTTGCGAGGCGTTCGACACAGTAGTACCCATTGAAAGAGAGAGAGAGAGAGAGAGATACCATGAACCACTTCTGTGAGGCATTTCTTTTATCCTAAAATGCAGTAATTCGCTATTGGATGACTGAGGTGAATCGCCCAAAGGGGCCAAGAAGAAGAAGGAGAACAGCCGAGAGGTCGGAACTTGAGGTTTGAACGGGAGTGGGACCTGTTGGGAACATGGGATACGTCTCTCAAAGCAACCAAAGAAAATGGAGTAGAAAATGGTTACAAGCACTTTGTTCCTGTTTTGTATAGGGTCATGTCCCATTTTCTAGGGTACTTGAAGCGCTTCAAGTCCGGCCCAGGTATGAGTCATATGCAGTCATATGGCTGTGAGGAATTAAACCTCCCCCACCAGACCATGGAAGTTTCACATTCCTTTAGACGAGGAATCTGTTCATTTTCACTGGTCAACCAGAGATCAGGGGCTTCGGGTGAATATCAAGCAATGAATCATGAGGACCTGTTGGAGCTGTAGATTTTGTTTTTTTTTCCGGATGTTGGTAAGGTAGTTCTATCCCCCACTTCAGCCAGAGTCCTGACCCATGTGACAGAGGACGCAACGCAGAATGCATGTTGTCCTGCACCAGATCAGATGGAGTATGTTGCGCCTTGCGTATCCCAGGTATTTGAAGACTTACCATCAGTTCAGCCACGCAAAGCAGTTTTCATCACCTTAGTCAGGTTATCCTGGTCTAGTCACGTCAGCTATTATAAGTGGTAGTATTCTCCATGAACTTGCACTTTTGCAAGTGTTGTTTGTGAACTGTATCCAAGCCCGAACACCGAATGGTGTATCACCGTTTCTCCTGGACGATGACCACCGTTTCTCAGGACTTTAATGAAGTCATTAAGGTGGAATCCATCACATACATATACAGATGGGTTCACGGCGTTCACGGGTGCTCTGAGTTAATGGTTTGATTCGCAAACAAGGCCTCCATCCACATGACTAGGCTGCCGTGATGTCACGATCAGCACTTTGTGCACCTGAACCACACTCACCTCTTCAGCTCCTATATAAAGTATATATATATAGAGAGAGAGAGAGGTCGAGGAAGGTCGGGGTACACATGCTTGACCTGACCAATTCAAAGGATAGACACGTTCCCACTATATCACATCAACGCCAGAGGTAACCAGATAAGACATAGGCCACGAGTCAACGACCCTCACGTGGTCGATGGGATTCCTGGGATACGGATGGTAGTGAACGCGTGGTTGATGCAGCCTCTGTGTCTGTGGAGGTAGTACGAGGGTGTATTATGTGTAATTATGTGTATGTATGATGTATACTGTACACTCGGAGAGTTGAAATTCGGAACTTGAACACTGCACCTGGCTTGGTCTTCGCCCATATTCGCCCTTTGGTCGCAATGTTGAAGCTGTGAAGACCTGGTTTACACCCGGCAGGGGCCGCATCCTCGCAGAGACGGATTTTCCAGTGGTCAGAACTGAGCCCCCGGTTTGCACGATGTCGACCGGTTCTTTCACAAGTGGTCAAAACCATGCTTTCACCGGTGCTGGCGAGGGATGTCACCGCGGTGGCCGGAGGTTTTATTGAGCTCGCACAAGGAACCCCAATGTAGACGGAGATGTAACATTAGTAGGATTGGAACATCCAATCCGACCAACGGATCCATGTAACGGTACCCCAATTGGTACCCCAATGTAGCTCGCACAAGGAACCCCGTTTTCTTGGTATCAAACTCGGGCATGCGGCTTCATGTCGGGCCCCCCCGTTGAGACGATGTGAGTAGACGTGGACTGATCTTTCAACTTGTATCAATCAAGGTGCATGAAGCGAGTGTCGACGTGAAGAGACCAGTCCTCTTGGACGTTGGTCCAAGAAACACAAACATCCTCAGAAAGCCTCTGAGCACAGTCGATCCAAGAATTCCCTTAGTTCATCTCGATTTGGGCAGGTTCAAAGCCTCCGAGTACGAGTCCTCAGCACGGGTGAAGAGGCGTGTGGTGTTGGTGCGTTCGTTGCAAGATGGAGGAGAGTGCAGTGCCGTCGCCCTCACCCAGTGGATCCAGGCAAGCCACTAGTTAAGTAGGTAACCCATGGTTCCAAAGACTTTTAACCGCAGACCCAACGAGGGCCCCTGGTTCCGTCAAACGCTGCCTGGGAGTGTCCGGGTCTTTCGCATGCGCGCATGGGCTTCGATCTCCGTCTTGCACCGTTTCTTTGAGTCACAACGAGGTGCTTTGGCCTTTGTGCAAACTTTGGGTAACGTGCAGATGTTGCTAAAGGTTATGGCGCTTGTTTCTTTGTTCCGATTTTTCCCTGGTGACATTGCAGCAGAAAGGTTCCCTGGACAGATGCGAGAGCCGCCTTCTTGCGCGCCAAGATCCATTCGGCCATTCAGCAGAGCTGAAGGCTTTCATGAAGAGCGCACGAAAGGTGGTTATGGCGAACCTGGCGCAAGGTAGAGCAGCTGGAGCAGCGATGCACGATTTGCTGGGATGACACTCACGCTGGGCAGACATTGTGGGGAACTGAGCGCCAGCGGCCTCAGCCCTTTTTTCTTCCCTTTCGGTCTCAGGAGACCCAAAGGACGTGAAGGAGATGGCCGCTGCCAGGGCCCGCGCAGCGCCGTCTTTGCGATCCCAGGCCGATGGCCGGACATCACCACCTCGCCGCATGGTATGCTCCAGGGGCAGTCCAGAACGGCGGAACTTCGTGATGGACTTGTTGAATCTGTTTGCTGCGGAGTGTTGGTGCTTTGAAGTCAGGCGTTTCACGGCATCAACAATCACGATCACAGAACATTTGCAACACTCTTTGACTTGGAGTTCATAAGGAGCTGTTACGGGCGCTTTAAACTGCAAATAATACCCCAAACAGCTTAGTCGGCAAGAGTTGTTGTTGCGGTGGTCGGCGCCGCCCAGCTTCCAGTGCCCCATGCACTGACGAGCTCGTCTTTGCCATAGAAGAGGCCGCTTGGGCTTGGAAGCAGTCGAGACGAATAACCACGGCGCCTAAAGAGACTTGGGATATGCGATGATATGTGTGTTATTGTGTGTTTTTGTTGGTTTTGCCGACACATGGCAAGGAGAGGGCGATTTTGTCTCCAGCGGGTCAGCAGAAAGATCCCACCGTCACAAAGGGCGACTGTGTCACCAGGCAGCGTCACGAAATGTCACGAAATCTTGGGGTGGAGATGGAGATCACTCGTATTCTATTTTGGGTTGATTTATGATAACTTGGCAGAATGTGTGCTGCGCTGGTTGGTTTTAAGATTGCAAGTCATGTTTAGCAGTTTAGCTAAGGGGGATCAACTCCTTGTGGCACACGCCAGCTTAGTAGCTCCATTTCCGCAAATGATCGCTGCAATAGGCCGCTGTTGATGCAGGGCAGCTGTAGTGCGTGCTGCTCTTTACGCCCCTCCACTAAAATTTGATTAGGCACTCAGCAACTAAATTTTCTTAATCGTTCAGGCCGCTTCATGACAACAACCGCCCGCACCAGTGGCTCTCAGAGAGGGTTAAAGAAGTATATACTATATAGTATAATCATGTATAATCACTCTATTTTTGGACCCTTTGATACGTTGTTTAGTTTTTCTTGTATGTTGCAAGCATTGTTGGATGCATTTTTCGACCCCCTTGTTTTGACCAGCTGACGTATATGCTACCGTAATCAACTATACAATTTAAACCAGCTGGTGCATATGATGCGACCATGACAGGTATTTAAAGACATAGACTGTTGAGAGGAACCGTTTTTTTGCTTTCATGGACCTAGTGATGCAAATGATCCGACAATGAAACATATAGTCAGACATAAATGGTATGTGAAAACCCATGTGTTTTCCATGTTTTTCCCACTCCCACTCGTCTCCCAGACACACCTCATGAACGTTCGGTCCCAAACAAAAATGCCTCCCCAACCTAGCTAAAGCTATAAAACGATGAACACACACAAACCGCAACACGCCCTTCAGCACCATTGGTGCCCGGCGGATTTGTTTTTCTCCGAGAAATGAATACTACATAAGTCGGAAAATGGAAAGTGTTTGGGTGAGATGCGTGCTCGATGTGGCATATAATTTGGAGGGCATGCTTTAGATCTGGGATGGCGGAACAGAAAGGGGGCGACAATGAGGTTCTCAGTGACATTCCAAAAGGCTGGATGAACACATATGAAATTCATGGAAAACCGGGTAAATAAATGCGGGCTACGACTTTGGGCGCATTGGGGAGGGAACACTCAGCCCCTACAAATCCATTCGTCGGAAACAACAAATCATTGAGGGGGGGTTGGCCATTTGGAGGAGGAGTGTGTAAATTTAAGGTGTTTTTTTTGTTCCGGGGATATGGCCAAGGACATCTGAGGAAAATTGATCGAGGCCTAGAGTCTGGCTGAATTAATTTCCCAAGAAGGCTCAAGGGCACACTCAATTTCATGTATTTCATGAATTGAAGGGCTGCCCCCGGGCCCCCTGGACCCCTTTTTTACGTAGGGGATATTGTTGACCGTGGCCAGGTGTGTTTGGGCAAGTTTGCCTCGATCTTTCCGCTGTCGCCGTGAGTGAGGTCATACCAATGAATCAGGAAGGAACATCCAAGAATCCACGGGGGGTGGGTGTTGAACGGAATGATGTTACATTCCATCACAAACCCTATGGCTCGATGTTGCATTCTATCACAAACCCTATGGATCCACTGGCACCTTCTCAGAAGCTATTTGGAGACTATTGATGTAGGCTTTGAGTCTTTGAGGGTCCAGTGACCTGAGAAGGTGCCAGTGGATCCATAGGGACCCATGATTTCGCCGTGTCATGCGCCCGCCGAAGCTGCAGATGATGCTGCAGAAGCTCCAACGGCTGCAGGTCCGGGTGACCGTCCAGGAGCGCCCGCCGAGGGCGGTGCCACCGGGAGGGTGATGCCACGGGGAGGGCGATGGCATGCGTGGCACCGATGCACTGTGTGTTTAAAGGCAAGTGTGTGCCAGTGTGTTGAAGCAATTGTGTAGGTGCGAGTGTGTGTTTTTTGACGAAAAGGTTCAGCTGGTGGTAGACTGGTAGACCAAAAGGATTCAACTTGAACCTTCTTTCACAAGGCACATGATCTGTAAAGGGGCTGCGCGTGTCCATTTGATTCGTACAGTGAGAGTTGCTGCGAAGTGGTGAGGTTAATAGCCGTTCGTTTAAGAAACAAAGAAACAGCAAGGCCTTCTTTGGTTACAGTAGATGTTTTTTGACCTTTTGATTTCTGACGTTTCCAAGTGTTTGGAAACAGTATGTGTACAGATACTTGACCTACCTACCACCTGTTTGCAGGAAAGTTAGGCTTTTATGGTGGTTACAAAAACGGCTGTCCGGCTGCCAACCACTTCCATCATGTTCCACTTCGATGCGGTGTGAGGAGTTTCCCTGACCAATGGCATATCCCCCAACCCGCCCCAAGCACCCGGTCCCCCCCAACATGCCCCAAGCACCCGACCATTTGCTTGAAGCTTCGCCACTCCAGCCCTTCTTCAGGAGTCCGAGAGCGAGTCGAGGTCAGGGACGAGAGCGGGGAATCGTCAGCTTTTGGCGTCGGAGCAGATCGACGGCAGGACCCATCCAGCTTTTTTGGGGGAAAAATGCTCGGTCAGGAAGCCTTTCAAATGGCGGTTTCGGTGCTGGTTTCGGTGGGATGGTGGGAATTCACATGTTCATCGCATTAATGATTGGTACCAGCTGGAGGTCAAAGGTCAAAGTGTGTGTGAAAAGAATAGACCCTAGAAGATTGCTGTTGGGTAAGATCTGGCCAAACTATAGATATTGTTATTCTCAGTGATTTGGCCTGCACGGGACAATGATTCGCATGTTTAGGGTGTGAGAGGTGAGACATGTGGCATCCCTTAACTTTATGAAGTATACGGAGATTCAGAACCAGCAAGTCAAGCAGTAGAGCCGCTCCTTACTATGTGCATAGTAAACAGAAAATTGCAGATCGACCCAGATCCTCCGCCTTCCGCGTCGAGAGGCACTGGACAGTGCGGCTTCCCTGGGCGGAGGGGCCCAAGCTGGCACGCGCTGAGGCAGCGAGCCGCGAGCCGCTTCGCACGTCCCTGGTGGTGCTGCACGTCCCGACAGAGCAGTGCGAGCTGCACGTCTCGAACTTGACAACTGGGGGATATTTTCGGAGGGCCCGTTTCGAAGATGAATGCCCAAACTACTTCACCAATCATCTGAACTATTCTGAACTCAAGGTTGGAAACTCTGAACCTTGTTCAGAGTCCCGCATCTCCGGAGTCTCCGGCAGAAGTTTTGGTCGTGTTTTGTTGGGACCGCCCAAAGTACCCCGAAAAAAGAGGCCACCGAAACGGAATTGTTGGTTTCATGGACTGATGTAGATGGCACAAAGCATTCCTAGAACCCATCTCTTTTTGGCGATGGGTGTCCGATCCCACGGGTTTGCCTAATGATTGGCAATGTCTCAAGAACGACCTGGGGAAAAGCGGATTCACCCGTGCTCAACGACTCTCCCAACACCGCCAGGCAGCCGCCCGAGCACCGGATTCCCCGCCGCCGCCGCCGTCAGCGCTCAGTGCTGTTCCACCGCCACCGCCTTCTCGCCGCGTGCAGATGTGAGTGGCATCAGTGGAGGGTAGTTGGAAAAGAGGGCGGTTTTGGGGGGTGTGGTGTGTTTTCTTTTTGGATGTGACAACAATTCAGGTGTGTTCCAGAGTTTAGAGGCGTTTACGATTATGATTTATATTTATGGATGTAGTTTTAATTTATTGATGTAGTTTTAATAGCTATCTGTTGGAGATGTTCGACAAGGAGCCTTGTTTGGTAACAAATTGAAGAGATCCATGCATATTCTTTCCCAGCAGGCCATCCAATTGAAGAGATCGAACAGTCTCCACTCCGACTCGGAACGAAGCGTCGGTGAAGTCCATGGGCAGGTATAGTACATGACTCCAAGGAACAAGGAACCAAAGAGAAACACGAGCAACGCTGGGCACGAGCAACGTCACATGTTCCGTGTGTGATTTTTGTTCATATCTCCTGATATCTCGCATAGTTCTCAAGAAGCCGCATGACCCGGGAAGCCGCCAGTTCTGGCGGATTTGCTTCACATGCTTCACTCCATGTAGACTCAACGGAGACATAAAGGCATCAGACTCTGACCTGTTGTCAACGGACACACTTGGCCTTTTTGATCCCAGTTCAGACCAATTAAGTTGGCTGCCCTGGACCGGTTGTTTAGTGTATCATGTGATGGGCAGGACAATACTGGACATGTGACTCCATCCGAAATGAGGCGACTGCACTGCGCGGCTCAAGGTGTTCCTTTGAGCCTTTTTTGTGTTCATCCACATGTTTGGACTTATGAAAGGCTTGCAGATCCTTTTCCTTAGCTCCCATGTCTCCCAAAGAAAAGATGCACATGGCCATGATTCGGACTCATACCACAAATCGCATTAATACATCGCTGGCTCGGCCGCGGCGTGTTCGCGTTTGCTGCGGAAAACTGCGCTGAAGAGGCACAAGAGCGGGGGGGCGAGGATGGCAGTCTTCCCTGCGCTAGCTATTTTGTGTTTATATGGGTGTGTTCTGACTATCCTGAGGAACTGAGAACTTGGGAAGATGACTGAATGGTGTGAAACCGGCGAAAGTTGTCGAACCTTCTCAAAGTAAGAAAGCGCAGGAACAGCATGTCTCATCGGCTCCCTGATGGTGTATACTTCCACATTCGTCGTCAGTCCTGCTGCAAAACTTTGCCAAGTCAAGCGGTTGAAGTTTGCTTGGACATGTTTATTCTTTATAGGTCCTTTGTTCAAGAAAGGAACAGATGCCCTTCACAGCATCCAAGACATCAGATTGAAGTCGGGGACAGGGAGAGATTGAAGTCGGGCAAGCTACCCATTGATCGAAGTCTATCCACCAAAACTTGTCGGTTTTCGCTTCCATCCCATTTTGGATATTAATAACACCTCTATGCCTCTATGCTTTCAGAAGACTGTGTCTTTTTCTGACCCAGCCTGGAACCGGTCTTTTTCAGAGGGTTTTATTCGTCAAAAAGAACACGTCGTTCACCGCTCAAGCACCTGCTTCACCTGCTTCACCTGCCGGTCATGTCGTCCGGTCCTCCAATGCAATCAGCCGTCCTCCGGTGTACGGCCCCCGACGGACGTGCCTCACCGCCGCGGGACGTGGATCGGACGGCACGCGGGACGTGGATCGGACGGCAGATCCGTTGCATCGGTGGACAGCGTCCGGCCACTGCGGAAGGGAGAGTTCGTCCGATGGTCCGAGTTCAAGGGGTTGCCCCAAAATGGAGGCCCTAATTTAGGCCTTCCAAGACCATGAAAAAGAAAGGCTTGACCTAGATTTTGCCATGTAAAGTCCAAAAAACGGGTTGTTTTGGTACAAGAACCAATTCAATCAATGGTGGGTGGGTTGAATCAACGGGTCTTTTTGTGCATGTTTTACTCTCCAAGACTCGAAGCTCACCGGCCTTGGTCAGACAAGAAGGCGGGACTGCATGGCTTGAATCGGGAGATTAGCCAGTGGTCCGAAGCCCTTTTTTTTCAGCTACTGAAGCTGCTTTGCTCTTCTGCAAGGGAACCCCAGATTGAACCCCCAGATTGGCCAAGCGATTCACCACATGCTTCCTTCAAACATAGAGTGCCATCCTCAGTGAGTTTCATTTGGAATTTGTGGTCTCAAGGGTTTATGAGCCATAAACCACTCGAAGCTGTTGCCGGGTTGCTTACTCAACAGAGCCAAGGCATTCGCTCCTGGTCTTGGCGCTGGCAGACCCTGCAGGGGTGCTGGGACATGTCGTTCTGCCAGATGGGCAGCCGCAGGTGAGACGAAGATCCCGAGCCATGCAGGGGCCTCAGGCGCATCGTTACCAACACTTCAGCCCTCACAGGGCCTTTGAAACATAGCTAGTTGATCAGTATATTGTATCTTGCAGTGGTGCAAGACACCCAGATCAGATCTATGAACCACGCACAGGTTGGTAGTAGGAAGTCATCTTCCACAGTCCACGCACTTCAGCGACCTCATGTAGATCTCATTTTTGTTCAACAAACTGCTTTTCTCACTGAGGAGCGAGTGGCAGGAAGCGCTAGCCACTGTCCAGGTGGCCTCAGCAAACGCCTTGGAAGTCCAGCTGAGCAATTGGAATTCACTGCTGCGCAGCGCCACTCAGCTGCGTGCGGAGCTGCTGGCGTTCTTGCATAGTACCTAGCAGTCTAAGGACTTAAAATTAGGGATCGCAGAGGGGTGCAGAAGAAGTTAGCTCAAGAGATCTCAAGTGAACCATTTTTTCGAGTGTGATGTAGACATTGTACTTGCATCATATAAAACCTGGTATTTCTCGATGGTCTCTCCCCACCGGTCAGGCCCAAACGACCGGTGGACGACGTGGACGTCGTTCCAGGTCGCCCGGGCCCAGTGGCGCTGGGCCTCTCAGACCTTCCAGCAGTTGCAGATCACGTGGGCCCGGCCGACGGCAGCTCGGCCCCGCAGCCAGCGGCACGGCCCAGGGGTTGGACTGGTTTCAATTGATCGAAGCATGGGGGGGAGGTCCGATGCTTCGATATTTGCAATATTGGCAGGTGGTTTGCGTGAAATCCCTGGGCGTCAATGGACTCGCCGAGTGAGAAGCTTCCGGATGACTCGGTCATGGAAATCTCAAAGGTCCCCACGTGTTCGGCTCATGTCATTAGTGTCCATGAGGTCGTATCCTCTGGGCCATGGGGGCAAAGCACATCCTCACCGTGCACCGTTTGGACGGTCACCTTTTTGGAATTTTGCTGTTGGAATCAAAGTAAGACATTTTATCAATTGATTATATATTATATATATACTATTTGTAAGTATTAGTAGTAGTAGTAGTAGTAGTAGGAGTAGTAGTAGTAGTAGTAGTCGTAGTCGTAGTCGTAGTCGTAGTAGTAGTAGTAGTAGTAGTAGTAGTAGTAGTAGTAGTAGTAGTAATAGTAGTAGTAGTAGTAGTAGTTGTTGTTGTTGTTGCTCCTTTCTCGGAAGAGTTGCCGATTTTGGCCCTGGCCCTGGCAGATCTTACACCAGTGACACTCGTTCTTGCGCTCCAAGCAACAGGACCAAGACAAAAGCAAGACCAATTTGGTTCTTCAAAGTGACCGAACTGTTCCAAAGAGGTCATGAACGGCTAAGGTCCTGGAACAACAAACCATTTGTCATTAGTCCTTGAACATGCTTGGTTCCGCACCAGCTACCTGGGATTCCCTTGATGTGACTAGAACTAACTTGGATTACAAATTTCTCCAACATGGCAATGGAGTTTACCCTATTCTGCAATGTGTTTTTTTTTTTCACAGGCACGGTCAAATCAGCTTGCCATGCTTTCCATTAAGGTCGTCTCCTACAACTGCCTTCTGAATATTGATGAATGGCAGCAGCAGATGGCCTGCTTGCAAGAAATGCGGAGGATGCTCAACAAGATGTGGGGGCGCATGCGTTGCTCCAATACAAACACTGTGCATTTCTCCTTTGGGTGGTTGAGGGAGAGGAGGAGCTCGGAATATTATAATGCCTCACTAAGGGAGCTAAGGAGCTGCAGATGGTTTTTGTTGTTTTACATGTGCTTGCTATAGTTTCTTTTGGCGTTGGGTCGCTTCCACCAGTTCAGTTGTATAGTCGTCGGTATACTTGAGACTAGTGCTGAAGGACTATCAGTGTGCAAGAACATGGTTTGGACGAGCACTGCAAAGAATTGAGATTGCAGAAATAGTTAGGCAGGTTCTTACAGAGGAAACTTCTGACCTCAGCTTAGCAAGGTAACTCAATTAGGTGACCCTTCAGATGCTTTTCCTCCTCATGAAGACTACTCAGTTTGGAAACATCAAATTTCTCCGTGATCCATCCTTCATCCAATCATATTTCTATGTGTTTGTCCGTTTGTCATTCTTTATGTCTTTCTTAACAGGCGCACGGTGTCCTTGCACACGAGCCTTCTTCCGGATAGTCTTCAATATATGGATTGGAGATTGTCGGTTACAGATGATAGGTATATATATGAGTTGGGTTTGTCCTATTACCTGTAACAGTCGGTAACCAATTTGTCACTACTTTTGAAGAAGGCCTTTACTAACCATCATCATCCACTGTTACGAAGTTACTGTTACGAAGTTCCCGTGCTTATTTGTGGTTGGTCCATCCTGATTTGATGCATTGATGGATTGAGGAAGCGTTCTTCACCCAACTTGATCACCTTGAATTCAGCTTTGCGACGAGTACCGTGGCATCGAGGGTCGGAGCTGCTAGAGGGAGCACTCCGAGGCTCGCAGCTGCAACTTGGACCAAAGGAATACCTTTAGAGACTGACCAAGGGAGCAGAGTTGCAATGTATGTCATGATTGCATACATTCATAATCTAATTGTATACTGTAGATGTATTGTTTTTCGTACATAAGTATACTTGCAGCAAGTTTCAAGTCATCAAGAGGGTCACACGAAGTCGTTTAGTCCTAACTTACTTCCATATCCTCTTGGACTTGAATCTACTCTGACTCTGAAGACTGACATTGACATTGCATGTATTTCGTTCATAGCTATCGTTTTCCATCGGACAAATGAGACCTGTATAGTATGGCGCCCAAATAGCTATTCCTGAGGCATGTATGCAACTGTCCTGTTCCCCAGGCAACCAGACCTCATTACTTGCAGCACTTTGGCCTCCCAGCTCTCCAACGAAGAAACCTGGCGCCGTGCGAGCTCTCAGGCGGCGGGGGCGGAAGCCGTCCCGACGTGGCCCCCTTCGTTGCCGGTGACGAACGTCCATGTTTCGATCCATCGAAAGAGATCCATTTGGGCTTAGTGTTTGGAACAGAGGGGCCTCCCAACCAATGGGTCTTGTGGCTTTGCTGCTTGTCTCGGCTGCTATTCAGCCGTTTGGGTTCCCACAGCTTTATTCGTGTGGAACACAGGAATTCCAAATTCAAATGTACGTGATATCTGAGAGGTCTCCCCATTTTTCCGGAATGCGTAGCGAAGGGTTCTCGCTTAACTCTGGGGGTCTGGGGGTAGAGCCTTGTTCGCGACCCGTGGTCTCAGCGTTCGCGACCGTCCGCCGGTGACTGCAGTAGGGCGCTAAGGCCGCTGCCATTGGGGGAAGCTTTTGGAGAGGGTTTGGGATGGAAACGTGACGTGTCAGATTCGTGTGATATAGCGTGGAAACGTGTGGAAATGTAAGATGTTGAAGTGTGGAGGATGATTTCACTGCGCATGGGCAGGGTTTTGTGAGCTCTGCAGTTTTCTGCGCAGTTCCATTGGGACTGGCGTTTTGAGAGTGGTGTTTTTGGGGTGTTGGATGTGGCCGTGCCATTGGGGTTTGCGGTTCGGGGTGTTGCATCAAAGCCCTGTTTTCGTGACAAGTCTCAGCTGAAATGGCGATTCTGCTGGATGGAAGTGTGCTCAGAACGGGTCGAACTCATTCCAAACGTGTGGTGTGGTGCAAATTATGTTGAAGCTCACATGATATATGATATTGTCAATATTGTCACTTTTCGTGGCAGGCGCAGTTGTGCGGGCTTTGAGGTGTGGAAGTGCGATTTTCGTGGCAGGCGCAGGGAATCGTGAGGTTGCGAGGTGTGACGGAGGTGACATTTCGTGGCAGGCGCAGTATTTTGTGCGCGTTAGACGTGTGGACGCGGAAAGATTCGTGGCAGGCGCAGAGAATCGTGAGGTTGTGCATGCGTTGTGTTTCTATAGTTACAAGTGAGTATTGGGGAGACCCCGGAAGTGGTCGTTGAAGAGTGCCCTTTTTTGTGCAGGAGTGTTTTTCAAAGA